TTGATATCTATAGGAAAAATACTACTACACGCAGATATATTCCTAATTCCTAATGAATCATATCATACTGTTGAACACCCCCCCTTAAAATGCTTAAGTAGTTTTAGATTCTTAAGTTTCATAGATTTACTTATTTCCCCTTCCAGCGAAAGATATGAAATAGAAAGAGATTACATTTGGAATGTAGCTGAGTGTAAAGATATTTCCTTCACTAGTGATAATATATATAATATATAAATCTATATATAATGATTCTGAAAATTCGACTTTTTTGAAGTGGAGAAAGATAGTCAAAAATTTTTCGATGCCGTTTGATAGAGAGTTATCCCGTGGTCTAAAAGGAAATTTTAAGAAATTATTAAAAAACAATAAAAAAAAAAAAAAAAAAAAAATTAACAAATAATTATATATCAAAGGATAAACACCTCCACTGGAATATATTAATAATGTGGTATTTATGAAATTTCTTGTAATTTTTTTTTAGAATTAAGAATTTAGAATGAGTGGGAGGGGGTTAATCACTTCGACCCTACAGATCCATTGTGTCGCCCTTTGATATCAATCCATTTTTCAAAACTTTTTAGTCTCAGGGCTTTTACAAAAAGCCAGTATCTTGGACGGTTTTATAGAGGTAGTTCTCCATCTCCATATCAATCGTACCAAATTCATCGCACTAATGGTTGTTCGTCTCGGGTGTGTGCTTAGCTCTCTATTGAGGAGGTGTACTGGTGTTTCACCATCTCGGGCCACAGAAATCTGCACGCGTCTTCTTATTTCGAAACTTATCTTGAGTCGAGAAGACAGTTCCTGTTAAAACCCCGTGACAATCCGAAGATTGTTTCTTCTCACCCAGTAAGATCTGTGATTTTTCTGATCATAAAGCCCTCAGAGAAATTTCTTCGGGTCTCTTAGACCGTTGCAAGATTTTCCATTCCAGGTTGGCGGATGGAATCTTCCAAGTTCCTGAGTTCCGCCTTAAGTTGGTTACCACTTGGAAATCAGAACGCTTCTGGATCCATATATTCGCTCCTTTCCTAGCTAGATTATTGCTTTTCATTGCTTTTTACCCCTTGGTGAGCAGGCACCAGTGTAGGAGGACTTTGTTTTCTTTGCCTAGTTTGTTCAGCTTTTCTATGCATTCTATTTTACCAATTTCTAATTTATAACGAGTTGATCGGCCTTTAAACCTGCTGACTATCGAATTAAATGGCTATTTCTTGTTTCCGATAGTTCCTGTTTCCTATCTAAGATAAGTTTACGCATCTCTCGATAGCGTAGGATTTCTTCTCTTTGTATACTAGAGTAAGTGCCCATTGGTTCGGAGAAATTAGCTCTCGGCCCAAACACTCCAATCCCTGTTCCCGTATTGGTTTTGGAAGCCTCAGTGTATGACTAAGTTATGTGGTATTGTCGTTTTAACTGCGGGCTTAGATGCGTTTTCGCTCTTCCAATCCTTCTATTGCTCAATACTACATGACATGTTTGTCAAGTTGTACGTTCTTGGCATATCGTCAACTGGGAGTTGCAGAAGTTGTATTTCCTTTTTTGAGGGTGTTCCAAGCCCGCTGAATCTGACAATTCTCTCAGTACTAATTCCGTTTATGCTCACAGAATTCATGTCGCATGGGGCAGTATCTGTATCGAAGTTACTAGTGGCTAAAGAGAAGGTATTGTAAGAATTGTCAATATTAAACTTGTGTATATCTTCGCTAATAATAAATTACAACAATTATAGGTAATCCAAAGGATAAAAACACCTCCACTGGAAAGGTCGGTGTTGTATTGTGAAAATTTCTTGTAAAAGAATAATTATCATATAAAAAAAAAAAAAAAACTAGAAGATCAATATTAATTAGATTACAGAACATTTAGCTCAGATAAAATGATGTTAGACCGGATAAATTCTTGCGTTGCAGAAGCATTGTTGATAAGAAACATGGTATAGATCTAATTAATTTAGAATTAATTAAATCAAGTCTCAAATTTACAGGCAATTAGATGCATATTGAAAGCATCAGAATTAATTAAATGTAAAGATAGTATGAACAGAGACAACCGTCCAATTCCTTCAAGTTCTTCTGTTCCACCTACTCCAGTGGCGAAATTTAATTGTTACACTCGGTTGGTTTGAACTCGCTTGGCTAGATCTTGCCACGCCCACTCGGTTGCCCACTGAGCGAGTATATTATAAACGCTCAACTTGTAGATTGTATTTTAGTTTATAAATCAAACTGCTGACTATGCTAACAAGGTTAGGCGAAAATCGGTCGCGTTGCCGGTGTAAAGTAAAAGTGTTTGTGTATGGTGGATTTTATAAACCCTCAACGATGTAACGAAACTTTTTTACTTAATTTTATCTGCAGAATATGCTGCCGAAGTTTTTGGAATACAGTCTGGACCACCATGTATTGAATTCTTTTAGTTGCATGTAAGTATTGTAATAAGAAATATATTAGGCTGACTGGAAGATCACTAATAGCTAGATTCAAGGAGAATATTATAGCTCAATTTCAATATGGTAGAGCAGATAAATCTTGTGCTTCTCAAAGCATTTTTATATGAGACTATTAAAATAAGTAAATATAAAAACAATATGACTAGAGATTAAGTCCCATTCCCAAAAAAGTACAGTGATTTGTATTTAGTTTAAACTATGGTTCAACAATTGTCAAAACACGCGTATTTTCCTTTCATTTTGCATGCCAGATAAATGCTAGTCAAAAAAACAGTAATAAAACAACTACATTTCACAAAATCCGAAACACAATTAAAATATTTTTCAAATAACTCAAAACTTTTTGTTTGCATTTTCCGCACAAACGCGAGACCAAAAAATATTAATGACTACAACCTTCCAAACTATATTCACATCTATATCTTCATATATCTATAATATATCATAAAAGGGTCGAACGGAAATTATTTTGCCACTGAAACAAAAGTAGAATTGCACAAACGACATCAAAGGCCATACGTCCATCAGAGCGTGGCATACAAATTCCTCGAGCCACCGTAACATTACTGGATCTTTTTTAATTTCGAACCCGAGACCCAAGCGTCAAAGGGGACAAATTAGCTAGAGGACCTACAAAGCCGGCAAAACCTCAATAGGACCCTTAATGTTGTATATTATTTCGTAGAGGTCTAAAACAAAGGCATAGTTTTCGAAATTTTAAACTAATCTTTTAAGTCGTATTGTTAATTAACTCTGCAAACTTACTAAATGTAATTTGACATACCCCCGGTATAGAGTTCTAATTATTTTCTAAAACAAGTAGAAATTTATAAATGGAAAATATGAAAAACTTGCGAAACTGTATAAGATAAAGTTAATTTCTGGAATAATGTCAATATTAATTTGTATACAGGGTGCGTCTCTCTAAAATGGCTCAACCCCTATAACTTTTTTATTTTTTCAGATAAAAAAACGAGATTTGGTATATTAATATATGACATAACTTAGGATTGATTGACATATTCAGGCATTTTAGGTCACTTCCTGTTTCACCGGAAATGACTACAACTTTTGATTTTTAAATGATACCCTCGGTATTTTCTTACTTTATTCGATAGAAAATGACATTCTCAATAGAATGACAATGACATTCTCAATATGTCAAGTTTTGACATTTTCACATACGGTTTATTAGAAATTGTAACATGCGGTTCATAACGACAATTTGACTCGAAATACCAAGTGTGTGGTACCAAATTATTCGTAAAAAAATACTTTTTTCAAATATGCTAATGAGCCACCCTTGTTCCATTTGAAAAAATTGAAATATGAATAAAAATACGATTTGGACATCTTCCAACATACCAGGACCCTGTAATGTAGACACAAAAAGACACAAAAACATTAGACGATCAAATCTTATTTTCTAAGGCTCCTTGATTTACAAATTAGTATTTTTAACACAGGCATGGTACCCAATACTTCCTACATTACAGGGTTGACACACCCTCAAGGTGACAAGATCAAGAAGTCCATCTAGCATTTATTGATTTGGAGAAAGCGTACGACTCTATTCCCCGCAGCAAGATATGGGAAGTCTTGAATATCTTAGAAGTAGATAGACCTTTGCTTAATATAATAAAAGAGCTATATAAAGAAAATGAATCGTACGTTAAGATAGGACACAGGCTATCTAATCCAGAGGTCTGAAACAAAGGCATAGTTTTCGAAATTTTAAACTAATCTTTTAAGTCGTATTGTTAATGAACTCTGCAAACTTACTAAATGTAATTTGACATACCCCCGGTATAGAGTTCTGATTATTTTCTAAAACAAGTAGAAATTTATAAATGAGAAAATATGAAAAACTTTGACGAGACTTTAATAGGGAAAGTTAATTTCTGGAATAATGTCAATATTAATTTGTATACAGGGTGCGTCTCTCTAAAATGGCTCAACCCCTATAACTTTTTTATTTTTTCAGATAAAAAAAACGAGATTTGGTATATTAGTATATGACATAAATTAGGATTGATTGACATATTCAGGCATTTTAGGTCACTTCCTGTTTCACCGGAAATGACTACAACTTTTGATTTTTAAATGACCCCCTGGGTATTTTCTTACTTTATTCGATAGAAAATGACATTCTCAATAGAATGACATATCATATGTCAAGTTTTGACATTTTCACATACGGTTTATTAGAAATTGTAACAATGCGGTTCATAACGACAATTTGACTCGAAATACCAAGTGTGTGGTACCAAATTATTCGTAAAAAAATACTTTTTCCAAATATGCTAATGAGCCACCCTTGTTCCATTTGAGAAAATTGAAATATGACTAAAAATACGATTTGGACATCTTCCAACATACCAGGACTAAGACACAAAAACATTAGACGATCAAATCTTATTTTCTAAGGCTCCTTGATTTACAAATTAGTATTTTTAACACAGGCATGGTACCCAATACTTCCTACATTACAGGGTTGACACACCCTGTACAATAATGTAGTAAGTATTCTAATACAAAAATTGTTGTTATACATAAAATATGTTAATAAAAAGATTGTGTTGATAAAACAATTATTTTTCCTAATACTTGCCTGATATAATGTACAATTGAAACAGTGCCAACAGCAGCTCTCTTTTTCGACGTATTTCTTAGCTTGACCCACGGCACAAGGCAGACTGCATACCGATTCTGGAGGTTTGGGCTGGCCCAGTTTGAATTGTATTTCTGATCATGAAAAGGGGAAATAGAATTTGCCAGTCAATAAAAGAGGTACGTATTTTATGTGCTGTATAAAAGTGCTTCAGCTTCAAGTTCAAATGAAGTGGCAATATACTTGAATATTTTGAGTACATTTTTCAATTCGAATTTATATACCTACATATATTCAAACAGAATATACTATTCGCTGTAAAATACTGTGGGATCATAATAAATAATATTAAGGAAACGATGAAATTGGATTATAGAAATATTCTGATATCCTGTTTTGTTATTTATCCACACAATTTTTTAAAGTTTAATACATTTTAGCCTAGTGGACCGATTTTGATGATTTTTTAAGCAATTCGTAGCTAAATTATTTGACTTTTTAGTGTCTCTTTCTAAATTCAAAATTAAAATTTCCATCTGTGAATTATACGATAGAAAACAAAATGTTCATATTTTTGTGAAAGTTTGAAACATCCTGTGGAATATATTAAGAAACCAAGGAATTTAAAAATCACTTTATCATCTAGGTAAGTTTTTTCTCTATAGTTTGTTTTTTAGTTCATCTTAATAGCTTTATTTTTATTGGAGATATTCGGTTTTGAATGAAACAGCAACGATTTGCAACAATTTTTGGGCCCTCAACAACACACATAAAATAGAGTCATTTTTTTTTGAACGTCACTGTCATTCAAAAGTCATATTGCTATTGTTTATTGACGTTTATTCTAGTAGAGATGGTTTTAAGTTCTAAACATAGACAAACAAATAAAAAGAGACTGACAAATCTCATGGTAAAGAGTGGGACCGCGTTCCCGTAGCGCAACTCAGAATAACAATTTTGAAACCAATTAGCAGGACCATGGCAAGACGTACGTCTTTATTGCTATATTTCTTTATTATGTGTGCTTTATATGAAAAAGAAAGAGATAGGTATAAAACGTATCGCAAGACATTATCGCACATCTTGGCTGGCGGAAAATTTAAATTAGCCATTATTAGTTGTATTCTTTCATTCTGAAACTGAAAATTTTCACTTAAACCTCCGTTCCCTTTACGTGGTATAGGGAATAAATCAGTTTAAGTGAAAATTTTCAGTTTCTTTCAGAACGAAAGAATACTACTATTATAAGGAAAATTATAAAAAAAAGCAAAAATAGACAATGAATAAATAAATATGTTTCATAAACATATTTATTTATATATAAAAATAAATAAACTTTTTATAATATAATAACAAAAAAATAACAGTGTTTATTCCACCCACCTACCAATTTTAAATCCAGAAGAACTGACTGTTGCAGGAAACGATCGGCCAATTTTTAAGGGCATTAAAAATTTCATTTTCGAAAAAACTGCCTAATTACAATAACAAAGTGAATATCCAAGCAAAGAAAACTTTACGAGAATTATGATCCTGAACCATTTTCAAGTCCGGTTTTACCTAAATAAAAATTTAATCCTAAAACAAAAGTAAAATAGGTATATTAATAAAATTTCTGGTTACTATAAACCAGCTATAAACTACCTACCCAAAAAATGAAAAAAATTAATTGTATTAAGCTTAATAAGATGATAAGTATAACTACTTACTTCTATTTTAACCGGGTATTTTACCGGGTTTAACATATCTATCAGAGAAAGGGGGTACCAATACATATAAAAAATAGATGATACTGGCTCCTGCAGCAAATAAAATAACAAATAGTATAACCTAAAATTATAAGCAACAAAATATAAATACCTATCTGAAACAAAGAAATTTGTTCCCTATCCATATTCATAAGTCAATAAAATGGAGAGTTTAGAAAAAAAAAGGTAAATCACCAAAAGAAAAATTAACAAACGTGACGAATTATCATGATGTTGACATCTTGGTTGTCATGATGACGAAAGGCGATTGTTCTTAATTTCTATTTAGAAATTACGTTTTATATGGCTGCTTCTTTCTCTCTTGTTGAACGAAACGCTTGCCCAGCAGTTAAAAGACCATACCATAACTTGGTATACTGATGCTTCCAAAACCAATACGGGAACAGGGATCGGAGTGTTTGGGCCGAGAGCTAATTACTCCGAACCAATGGGCACTTACCCTAGTATCCTACAGGCAGAAATATACGCTATCGAGAGATGCGTACCCACTTATCTTAGATAGGAACTATCGGAAACAAGAAATAGCCATCTTATCTGATAGTCAAGCAGCGTTAAAGGCGATCAACTCAGTATCAATCAATTCGAAATTGGTCAAAAGAATGCATAGAGAAGCTGAATAAATTAGGCAAAGAAAACAAAGTCCTCCTACACTGGGTGCCTGCTCACCAAGGGATAGAAGGCAATGAAAAAGCAAATAATCTAGCTAGGAAAGGAGCGGACACTCCACTAACTGGACCAGAACCGTTCTGCTTTCCAAGTGGTAACCAACTCAAGGCGGAACTCAAGAACTTGGAAGATTCCATCCGCAACCTGGAATGGAAATCTTGCAATGGTCTAAGACACTCGAAGAAGTTTCTGAGGGCTTATGATCAAGAAAAAATCACAGATCTTCCTGGGTCTGAGTAAGAACAATCTTCGGATTGTCACGGGGTTTTAACAGGACACTGTCTCCTCAATGAACACCTCAGTAGATTGAAACTAAGAAGAAACTGGCGAATGCAGATTCTGTGGGGAAGATGGGAAACACCAGTACACCTCATCACTGAGTGCGCCGAGACGACAACCATTCGTGCCATGAAATTTTGGTACGACTGATATTGGAGATGGAGAACTACCTCTATAAAACCGTCCCAGATACTGGCTTTTGTCAAAGCCCTGGGACTGTATGATGAGTTATGATTCAAGAAAGAGGGGGACACAATGGATCTGTAAGGTCAAAGTGATATGAGGGCCCAATAGACGCAATGCGCAGATCATTCTAAATAGAAAAAAATTTTCTCTTGTTCTGAGTTGCGCTACGGGAACGTTGTCCCTCTCTTTGCCAGTCTCTTTTTATTTGTTTGTCTATGGTCCTCAACACACTTATAAATTATTATAAAATAGAGTCATTTTTTTGGAATGTCACTGTCATTCAAAAGTCATATTGTTATTGTTTATTGACGTTTATTCTAGTAGAGATGGATTTAAGTTCTAAAGTAGCTATTGTTATGGCTATAATTGATCACGGTAGAGACCAACTTTTGGACTTAAAACCGTATCTGCCCAACAGACAATAATAATATGATTTTTCAAAGACAGTGACATTACATAAATCATAAACACTATTTTATAGGTCTGTTGACTAAGACCAAAAGCAAAGGCATGGCTTTAATGTAAAAAATACGAAAAAATGTTCGTGTCTTCTTCAAAAGCGAATATCTCCAAAAAAAATCGTCAATAGATCAGAGTTGAGGTTTGAAGCTTTTATTTATAGTTTCTTTGCTATACAGGATAATGTGTGTTTTTTTCTCAGCTATATAAGTTTAATAGACACGTACCTTATAGCAAAAGAAATGTTTTAGTAGCACTATAGTTTTTATACCCCCATTAGTGTTATTACAGCATTTCTATATAACTACGTTAGCAAGCAATAAGCTCTATAGATAATTTTCTAGAGAACTACTATGAGGTATTTGAAGGCACTTTTGTGTCATCCAACTGTATATATTTTATAGGTTCTGATTAATGAAACGAATATATTTAACTAACAATTATTAAGGAGCTTATTTGTTAATATAACTATAAAGACCTTAGTTAAATTCTTACAGGTATTAAAAGTATTTAATAGTGTTTAATATTGACTTAAATTTAAAATGATTGGAAATCAAATATTTGTTGATATCTCACCTGACATATTGAGATCTAATGACCCTTCTAGATATTCTCCTACTCGTACCCATTGAAATCTTCCGGGAGTTACTTGTTTAAAATGGATAATGTTGTATCTGGCTGGTCCATCTCCATTTTCATCGAAATGAAACCTGTCGCCGGTTAATCCTGAAAAAGAGAGGCAAGCTAAATAAAAAAACATCAAAAACAGAATGTAAAAAATGCTAAGTTTCGCAACACAATTCTTCCACTACAAAAAGTTGTGAGATCTCTTGTAAAACCAACAAGTCAGTTTATTTTATTTAGTCTCTCTTTAAGCAACAATTTTATTATAAATTGTTAGTATCAATATTAGTCATCTTTATTTCGGTAATAATTTTAATGACTTGGTAATTGCACAGCACCATAATTATACAAGAATAATCTACGATCTTGATTACTAACTAAACCTAAACAGTGCTCAAAATAAAGTTTTTTAATTAGGATAGAATGTCATATTGTGCAATTGTCCAGTCTTTATAATTATTCAGGCGAAGTTAAGACTAACAAAGTTTGACTAAAAAAAAATTAAAATACATTAAAATTTTAAGGTGCCCATTTTTCATGCCGGTGAGTGTATAAACATAACTGCCAACTGTAAGTTGTCTAATATATGATTTTTTTATTCTTGGCGTTAGGTCGTTGGGGTTGCAAACATGTTACTGGATTTTGTTCATTATTTTATTTTTATGACGACGTTTCGACAGTATATGTCTGTTTCAAGTCTCTTGAACGTAGATTCCTACAGAATTAAAATTGTTAAAAACTGGAAAAAAGTACAATAGCACATATTAAAACTATTATTTTAATTGTTTAGGGACGTCACACTTTAACAAAACAATTAAAATAATAGTTTTAATATGTGCTATTGTACTTTTGTCCAGTTTTTAACAATTTTAACTTGAAAAAGACATATATACTGTCGAAACGTCGTCATAAAAATAATATAATGAACAAAATCCAGTAACATCTTTGCAACCTCAACGACCTAAGGCCAAGAATAAAAAGAAAAAAATATATATAGTATACTAGGTCAACGAAAAAAAAAATATATGAAATCTATACTAATACACCGGGTGTTGCATCGTCGAGCGGGACATAGGAAATCCCATGTAAATTTTAATGGGGTCAATTATTGGCTTCCCTAATTATTTTAGAGAATAATTCTATTTAGGTTTATTGAAGAGCACTAAAACCCACATTCAAAAGAATAACTTTAGATATTTTTGATTAGCCCGTTTACGAGTTATCGCCGATTTCTTTTTAAATATTTCTCCTTTCTTATGGCCCTGTATTTACTTATGAGCACCAGTCAAGGTAAAAGATAACTGTCAAATGAAGTTGTCATTTCAGAAATTTATCTATTTAGTGCTTTATTATTATCAATATGATTATCAATTATTATTATTAAAAAATCATACCTACATCGAAAATATTAGCCATGAATTACACTACCGAAGAAAAAGTATTGATGATTAAATGGTATTGTCAAGGAAATAGTTATCAAAAGGTGTGGGACATGTTTGCTGCTCTGTATCCGAATAGACCGATACCTGGAAAATCTACAATCGCAAGGAATATCCAGAGATTTGAGACCAAAGGTACCCTAATAAATAATTGCAGATGTGAAGCAAGGCAGGAACAAAGAGAAGATGCAAGAAATAATGATACCGACTTGGAAGTTTTACTGTGCGTGGAAGAGAACGATGGAAAGATTAGCACAAGGAAACGAGGATGAAATAGGAATAGATCACACTACAGCGTTTCGAATTTTGAAACGACATAAAAACTATTCCTTCAAATATGAAATACGGCGGCAGACGTTTTGTTTTGATATGATGGAAAGAGCAAACACGGATAAGGAATTTTTAAAAAACATAAGTTTCACTGACGAATGCACGTTTACCTTAAATAATGAACCCAATGTTCAAAATTATCGATATTGGAACAAAGAAAATCAACACAGATTTGTCGAAACAAGGACGCAATATCCACAGAAAGTAAATGTTTGGGCAGGGATATTCGGACACAATATTATCGGGCCATTATTTCTTACGCGAAATTTAAATGCAGAATATTATTTGGAACTACTCGAAAATCATATTTTACCTGCTTTACATGATGCCGCTAGGGAAAATCAGGAAGTTTGGTACCAAATGGATGGCTGCCCGGCACATAGTACTCTGGCTGTTCGGGAATATTTAGACAATAGTTTTAATGGAAACGTTATTGGCCTAAATCATACAGTAAATTGGCCAGCAAGGTCTCCTGATATTTCGCCAAATGATTTCTTTCTCTGGGGCCATTTAAAAAAAGAATATACAAGGATAAAAAATACCCAAATCTAGACGAGTTAAAAATTGCTATTTCTGCCGAATGCAATAGAATTTCAGTTTACCAACTAGAGAATGTAAGAAGAAAATTTTATGATCGCCTGGGTCGTTGTCTAGCAGTCGATGGAGGAATCTTTGAACATCTTCTTAAATCATAAAGTTCTAACAATTTAATAGTACCTAAATTAATAAGTTATTGAATATTGTAATAATTACTTTGTAATTGATTACTTTATTTTACTTTAATTCATATTAATTTGTATTTATAAATACATCTTTAAGATTTCCGATGTAGGAATGAGTTTTCAATAATAATAAAGCACTAAATAGATAAATTTCTGAAATAACAACTTCATTTGACAGTTACATTTTACCTTGACTGGTGCTCATAAGTAAATACAGGGCCATAAGAAAGGAGAAATATTTAAAAAGAAATCGGCGATAACTCGTAAACGAGCTAATCAAAAATATCTACTGTTATTCTTTTGAATGTGGATTTTAGTGCTCTTCAATAAACCTAAATAGAATTATTCTCTAAAATAATTAGGGAAGTCAATAATTGACCCCATTAACATTTACATGGGATTTCCTATGTCCCGTCCGACGATGCAACACTCGGTATATAAAATCCTTAAGTGATTGACTCACTGATTAATCACGATCTTGCTCAAACCACTCAACGTAAAAAGCTCAATTTTGGCATACAGGTTGATTCTAGGGTGTAGAGTTTCGATAAGAAGGGATTTTCGAAATTCCAAATTTCTCAAATATTACAATATTTTTTATTTAAAAAACGGTCAAGTTTCCGAATAAACGCTTAAACACGTATATTTTATTTTCTTTTTTACATATTTTAAGATTTTTTAAAAATGTATACAGGGTGTTACGAAAAATCTGGTCATGGATTAATCACGATCCTGCTTAAAGCGCTTAACGTAAAAAGCTGATTTTTGGAAAACGGATTGACTTTAGGGTGTAGAGGTTTGAAAAGAAGGGATTTTTCGAAACTCAAATTCTAAGGGGGTGAAACCACCCCTCAAATATTATAATATTTTTTTATTCAAAAACCGGTGAGTTTTTCGGAAAAACTCTTAAACACGTATATTTTATTTTGTTGTTTTATATATTTTAAGATTTTTTTTTAAATTATACAGGGTGTTTCATAAAATATGACCATTGAGTAATCACGATAATTCGACGCGAACGAAGTCACGGGTACACGCTAGTTATTTTATAAACATTTAAACTAAAATTTGTAGAAATTCTAGAAATATACAAGTGTTCCAGAACAAAATATAAAATTGATTTTCCGAAAAAAAAAGATTATTGAGTAAAATTTCTCAATATATTTTATATAGTTTTTTTAAGAATATAGTTTTAAACTTTTTACAGCCGAATCTTGAATTTCAGCTCCTGAGACTGTCCAGGTTACCACAGCCATTCCAAGAAAAGAAGTGAGTATTAAATAAAGATTATCTGGAAGCAGTAAGCGGTAAAGTCCGAAATTTCTTTCGATATCGGAATTACAGAGATGGAAACTTTTTACGACTTTTATTATCTCGCCGAACGTATATTTTTTTCATTTTACAGCGAATCGTTTTCTTATACGCTCCTAAGCTCACCCCTCTAAATTCGTAAACTGTATGGACCTTAATTACCTTAAAGGAAAAAATCGTAATGTCTTGCGATTTTTTGCAATAACAATAAAAAGTCTGGTAGGGTAGATTCTTAATATACATATAAATGTGTTTTATAGCAGATTGTTTGCATAAAGCTTGTATATAGGTATCTGGGACAAAGTTAAATTAATTTTGTTTAAGTTTTACATATTTTATTATACAGGGTTGTTCACCACATACGACACGGAGTATTGTAGCTAAACGATTAGATTTTCACAAATTATAAGTTTTGGGTTCGTTGAAGAACTACTAGAGCTACAATTTAAAAATATTTTTACAACATACAGAGTGTCCCAAATAAATAAAAAATATCAAAGTTGTATTTTTTTAAATGGAACATCCTGTATATTATTACATTTTTAGTTTCTACGATTAAAATAAAGGTAAATTTGATTAAGGTTTATTACACTTAAATCTTACCGTTTTTGAATTTTTTTCAATTTTGTGAAATTGCAGTAAACATTTTAAGGCTTCATTTCTCCAAGGGTATCAAAGTTTTTAATACTAAATATTTACTGAAGTTTATTTATTGATCAGTTATTGTGTTGCAATAATAAAAATAATACTACCTCATACAGAGTGTCTAAAAAATTATTTTAAATAATTTCTAGCTCTAAACGCCAATAACTTCTTTAATTTAAATGGAACGCCCTGTATCTTTTAGGAGAATCAGATGCACAATTTAATTGTCTATCAAATTGTATTATACCATTTTTTACCTATTCCTTCAAGTTTTCGTAGAAAATGCATTTTCTTATAATTTAGACCTCATTTATCAATATACCCATGGAATATTGACATTTTAGATTGTTTTTAAAGCAACAAATGTACAAAATGTACGGGCTAGTAATATTATTGTTTTTAGCAAAACGGTAATATTACTAGCCCATTTGTAGGTAAAAAGAAAACTATTTAAATATTTATAAAAGAGTATACCATTAATTAAATATAACACCATTATTTCCATTTGAGGGTTGGAACCTTTGGTGTTAAACAGCAAAATAAAAACACTAAATCACCACAATACACCAAAACACTTTTACTTTTACACTGGACGCGCGTTTCGCTAACCATGTTAGCATCATCAGCAGATGATTATAAACTAGTGTATGATTAT